CTTTCCCTTTCTCTCTCTGGTAAAATGAAAAATAATAATAAATAAAATTTAATAAATAATTTTATTTTAAAAAACATTATAATTGCATCATGTCCTGCATCAGTTCATGGGTTTTTCAAAAATCTTCCCATGTTATGAGGTTTGGCAAACTATGGCCTGCAGGCCAAATATGACATGGCCTTTATTTTTGCAAGTAAAGCCTTGTGGGAAAGCAGTTATGCCATTCATCTTCTTATGGAACGTGGTTCCCTTCTAACTACAGTGGCAGAGCTGAGTGGTCACAGGAACCTTTGCGACTACAAAGCTTTATGTGTTTACTCATTAGTCCTTCACAGAGGAAGTCTGCCAGTCCTTGTCATATACTGAACCTGGCTGAAATTCTCTCTTTTTTGTTTGTATTTTTCTTTTCTATCTGACCCTATTGTCAAAAGTTAAATGAAGTGGTATTAAATGGGAATGAAGAAAGAAGAAGGAAAGAACTACCATGTATTTATATGATTTGGGAGGGGCCATGTTCTGGAGATTCTGTACATGTCATCTTATTTAATCCTCAAAATGTTGCTATGAGGTTGATTTTTTTAAAAGAGATTTTTGCCACAGGGCATGTGCACTCTCCAGAGACAGAGAGAGACACAGAGAGAAGATGTGAGAAATCACCCTTCCAGGGGATGGCCACACCACAATCCCTTCTTCTCCACTCTCCTGTCAGGATTTTGGGTATGCACACACACAAGCCCAACGTGAGTTTCAAGCCACCATTCCAGGGCTCAAACCACAGTCCACCATGTAGGAGTCCAACACTTTAACCACTATGCCACCTGCTGGCCCCCTGAGATTTATATTTTAAGCCTCAAGCTATAAATAAGAAAAGATGCTCAGAGAGGTAAGACTTAAGTTACCCAAGTTTATGTCACTACTGATTAGCAGAACTAGGATTAGAGTCCAGCCTTTCTATTTAAATAATTTTTGTTCTTTCTATTATGCCATATGAGTGTCATAATCAAGGTTGCCTTCTATTAAAAAAAAAGATACACTCTTCCCTGAGTTAAAATAGTTTGATTGAATAATACTTGATACCAAATCATACCAAGTTAAACATAGGTTAAAATTGTCTAAGTTATGTTGTCATCATGGGTTTTGATTTTATTGGGTGATCATTTTTACAAGGGGATGTTGCACTGCAGAAGATGAAACATTTAAAAATAATTTTTACCAGAAGGCATGTGTGCTCATCAGAGAGAGAGAGAGAGACAGATGGAGAGAAAGAGGCAGGGATAAAAGCACCCCCTGGGGGAATGGCTAGTTTGCAATCCCTTCACTGGCATTTCTCTCTCTGTCAGGATTTTGAGCATGCATGCACATGTACCTGGTGTGTTTTCCAAGTCAAAAGATTCCAGGACTCGAACTGGAATCTGTCAGTCATGTGGGACCTAGCTCCCTTAACAACCAGGCCACAAGTTGACCCAAGAACACTGTATTTTTTGACAAACAACATTTTATATTATTAGAGAAACTTACTGGCTCAGCAATGGGTGGAACAGAAGTTCTGTGTGTATGTTCATACTTATGATTATATAGAGACTATAAAGATGTGTTTTCATTTAATCAGCCATCCCTCTTCTCCGCAGCTTACTACAGTTCTCTAAATCAGTGATTACCAAAGTCACCTAGTCATCTGACTCTTTCATAAAGTCCCTTAGAATACAAATTCCCAGGACTTTCTCTATCTAAGTCAGTATATTTGAGGTTGGGTTTGGAAATCTGTTATTTTATCTTTTTAACCTTTGCAGGTGATTCTGAGGATCAGCCAGCTTTGGGAAACCACTACTCCAGAGGAGGTGTGAGGAGGCAAGGCTGCGTCTGTGTCTCGGTCCTTTCTGGTTCTCCCTGTGTTTTCTAACCTGTGCACTTCCTGAGCCTCATGCTTGGCCAGGGGGCACATTGTTCTTTGTCTTTGCTAAATGAGACTGAGGACAGGAATACTCCCACAGCACACGATGTATGTTCTCAGCGTCCAGTAAGCGGTACAAACACCTTCTGCCTTCATTTCAGTTACTGTGGCTAGTTGTGTTTTTATTTCTGTCATTGCCTTTTTTGTTTTCCACTTGCATTTGTACACATTCTTCCAATGATGCTGTGGTTTACATAGAAATTTACTTCCCATTAGCAGTGTTGGAAGACAGGGCCTAGTAAGAGGTGATTGGGTCATCAAGGCCCCACCTTGTGGCTAGGTTGTCATTATCTCAAGAGGAGGCATTTTGAAAAAGAGAGTTTGGCTTTCTGCTCTCCAGGGCTCTCTTGCCCTTCTGCCTTCTGTCCTGGGGTGGAACAGCAGCAAGAAGGCCCTTGCTAGTGCAGGCATCTTGATATTGAACTTCTCAGCCTCCAGAATTGTGAGAAATATGCTTCTTGTCTTTATAACTTACCCAATCTATGATATTCTGTTCTAGCAACACAAATAAATCATGACAGACCCAACTATGATTTCTTCTGCTCCATGAGTACGAAAATGAGCTTCCCAGATACTCAGAATTTAGATGATAAAAGGTTATTGCCCCTTGTACCCTATTATCAATCTCCCTTTCCTTTCTTGCTTTTAAAAATGTCACTAAATCTGCCATATATTAAAACCAAACGGGGTTCTGAACCCTGAAAACTTGGATGCCTCTGCTACCCATTAATTTCAATCTTTCCTTCTCACAGTGTAGGGGTTATAGTAGCCTAACATCACAGGCTTGTAAAGATATATATATAACTACATTCAACCCACATTCATTTTATTTTTCAGTCAGTTCACCTTTCTATCACAGTATAATTTAAATAATTGACCTTAACCGTCTCTGTCACTTGTAGAGAATCACTATCATTAACTTTGCTTAAGAACGTAATTCTTACTTCCTTCGGGTGAGATATGTGTATTTCTTTCTCTTAGGTGTACTACTAAGACAAAAAGACATGATGTGTGAAGACTTCAACATATTCTATATTATAATTATGACAGATTAGGTCCTAACAGAGAAAGCAGCAAATTTAGAATCTAAGAAGAGGAAAAATAATGCTTAATATCCCAAGTAGAATGGGAAAAGAAATCTCTTACTACAAAGGTTTTAGAGGTTCTATATCTTTTTATCAAAGAGAAACTCAACTGACAGCAAATACGGAGTCAATGAGGACATCAGACTGTCATTTGGAAATCTGTAACAAAACACAGCCACGAAACTAGAATTTGTGAGATGAGAAATGGCAACCTAGACTATAATGCAATAAACCTTTATAGGTCATTAACATTAGAGGTGAAAAAATAACGCTTTATAAAATTACCTTGGGCAGTATCTCTCGGCCTCTACGAGATTAACCAAGCACATTTCACAATAGATGTCGCAAGAAATTTAACTAACCATTCATTTAAATCTAAAATGGATACGCTGCAATTAAATAAGCGTTTCATGTCCAAGTTAGATCGGTCCTAATGAGCAAGTCTAAATTCTGTTTGCAAGATCGAAATTGCCTTTTGTGACAGCACCTCCTTGTCAGAATGTCCTTCCGACAGGGGAGAGCACTTCATGCCTAACAGATAAAGACAGCAAGTCCTGTGAACTGTTAAAGTCATTGGAAACAACGGAGATTATGCTGCTTCAGAAAGATTTGATTTCGAGGAAATGAAGACCACCCCATTCAGTGCTCTTCTAAGAGAGAAGGGGGTGAAGGGAACATTCATAATTAGTGAGGCAGAGAAACTGGCCCTGGCTCCCTAAAGGCACGGCCAGTCCTGCACCCTTGGCACTTACTAAAGCTCCTACATATTTTTATTAATTTATTGTCTAAGCATCTGTCGGACTCCCTGAGTTGACTGGAAGCAGGCCAAAAGCAGGGACCAAGGTGAACTTCCGGGCATCAGCAGCACCCTCTAGGTGACTCTGTTCAAATGTTCAAATGTTTGTTGTGGATATTGGAGATGTTAATTAGGCAGGTAAGTAAGTTAGTTAACAGAAGAATTTTAGACTTCAAAAGCATCCAATTCCCTCTTTGTCTTAGTTAATGTGGGGCAGATCTGTTCTCTATAGGAGGAAAAAAAGCAGAATGAATATACAAAGTCACACATTGTATCAGTTTATTAATAAATACATGTGTTTGTTTAGAAAACACAACAAAGTGTAAAATCATCAGAGAATTTAAGGTAAAATTACAAATGCACCTTCATCTTATGAAATCCTTTTTTTGGCTGAAATTTATGCCAATTATATCAGTACTTACCAGAGTATAGACAATAGACCTTGTCCTATGTGATGTTAATAGTTATTACAGACAAAAATGTTCCATGGTTTAATAATTTGGGGAAATTCTGGGTGATACATTTTAAAAGAGATTTCTTTATTGCAGTGTCTCAAAGGTTTTTGCATTATCCCAACACGCATGATAACTCTTCAAGGTCAGAAGATGGACAGTACTAATTTCCTACACAATGTTCTCCATAGAACTATGAAACAAATAGGGGGCTAATGATCTAAAGAACACACTTTGCGAAATACTGAATCAGACACATATCTACTGATGTGAACTCCCTCTTTTAAAGAAATGTCACCATTGAAAACCTGCAATTCTATGAGCTTCCCTGGTTCTCAATCTTAGCTGCCCATCAGAATCACCAACGCACTTTCGACATGCCAATGGTCAGGCCCCAGCCCAGGTCAGCTAGTTGGAGTCTCTGAAGGGGAGGCTGGGTACCAGTAATTTTGAAAAGTTCCCACATGTCCACCTAACAGAGGGAATTATGACTTCTTCCCAGGTTGAAAATCACCGGCCAAGCAGATTAAACTTTTCATCTTGAGCTGATTTATGGCAAAGTTTGTAGACTTCAAATAATCTGTACTTGAGTTTGGTCTGATGTGAGCAGTATGGACATCTAACCACTTACTTGGCCTATCTGTACCTCATTTTCATATCCACAGAAATGGAGATACTCTCATGTATGCCTCTGAGGGGTCTATGGGCTGATCAAGGAAGAAGGTAAGATCATGAGAAGCAAGAACACAAGGTTTTTTAAGCAGTTCTTGGACAGGGTTGCAGAGAGGGGAAGTTCTGCACAGAACTCTTTGCTACCTGAGACCACCCACAAGTAGCAAAGAGTCACCATCCAGAAGAAGTAAACGTTAAGGGAACTACCCTGGGGGGACAGAGAAGTTTCAGGAGTGGGGATATTACATGTCTATGCTATGTCACTCAACAGCAAGTCAGGGGGCGCTTGGGTTTGGGAACTCAGGGGGACAGCAGTGGGCTGGGGTCTTAAACCACAGATTGTACCTCATCCATGGTTAGCAGATGTGAATAGAGGGTTTAAGAGCGTACGAAGTAGGCAGCATCTAGATAGCTAAAAATCTGCTTTTGGGGGCTCTCTAAAAGAACTGAACACATAAAAATTCAATTTGGTGCCTGTAAGCAGGCTTTTTAGCTAATGGGTCTCAGCTTCAGTGAAGAAATTACCTAGGGGCCAATACACAGAGGCTGTCTCTTGGCCCACTTATATAACCTCCCTGCCTAGAAGAATTCTATGAGGGTTAGGTACGAGGGTGCAGATTGGCAAGCACTGCTTCTGGCAGAATGGTAAGAGGTGTTGTCAGAAATGCTCCCAGACAGTTAGTATACGGCTTCCCTAAGCTAAGGGGGAGAAGCCCCTGACTGTGCCCTATCCTCTTCTTAGGACCCCAAGCAGCTGCTCCCCACAGTGCACCAGCGGGCCCCTATTTCACATGATTTTGATACACAGAGTCTCTAGGCTACCCTGGCATGAATACTAGGCTGAAGGATTTGCAAGAAAAGGAAGAAACAAAGGACATCCAGGGAAGCAGAGAAAAAGAATGGAGACAGCAGTGAGAAGAAATTAGGAGCTGCTGGAAATGGGTTTCAGAGACGGTCTTTGAATAGGGGACAGAGAGAAGAGGCGATTTGAGGGCGAGAAATAGCTGCAGGACATGAAAAAGGGCAGAGAAGAGACAGAAGAGTTTGAAGATGTTCTGCAGGTTTTATACATGTGTGTTGTCCTTAGCATTGGCTCATGAGACAGCAATAGAGATTTCAATTGTTTTCCGATTTTCTTTTCTGTTTTTTTTTTTCCTTTGAATATAATTCTATGCTAAAATTCACCAAAGAGCCTGGATACAGTTTTATTACCCTGTGACAGAATCTTACCATGTGCTCTGCCTGAAAGACAGGCCTCATAACCAGTTACTTGATAGCCCTTCGGCCTTATGATGACAAGTAGTTTAGAGGCATAACTAGGTGACACAAAATGGCCCTACCAACTCAAACCCCTGGTAGGACCTTAGGATATAGTTCTCTACCGTCGAACCCGGAAAAGTGGCCATTGGCATTAGACCTGAGAAGACCAGCTGGTGCACTGTGGGGAGCAGCTGCCTGGGGTCTCTCGTGAACTGTCTTTGCTCACAACGTCCACTTGTTTCTTCCTAATCATTTTCAGGACTGGAAGCCAAAAATGCACCTGAAAGGTCCATGAATGAGAACTGGAGTCAATTCAAATGTCTCTTATATAATAGTTTCATTGTGGGGTTACTGGTGTTAAGAAAAATTGCACAAGACTTTGAAATGGGCAGAAAAGCTTATCCGTGTGGGTTATCTTGATCTTTCATCACCTGTGAGCTCTTTTCTAATTCTATACATTATTGATAGCCTATATAAATGTTTTTTGTCCACGAAATGCAACTATACTTCCCCCTAGAGAGTACAATTGACTCCACACCTCCACATTGTGGAAGAAACCAGTTTGCATCTAAGTAAATTCATTTTGGCGTCTCTGATGGCCTACATATGTGTGCGTATTTTGAATTGTTCTTTGAGTTGGTTTTGATTTTTTACTGTTCCTTATTATAGATGAGTTAAATTAAGTTTCTGATGTATTCATTTTATGTGTGTATAGGGCAGAATTTTTTTGAGTGTATCAAATTGTAGATATTTCCCTCTATGGTTTTCCTTTATCTTGGCCTGAGAAGCAAATCTGGGTTGAGCATTGAGAATGCCCACTAGTGTACCTTCTCTGTAGCCTCTCCATGATATTACTAAACATAACACCTGAAAGCATTATTTTGAAAGGTATCTGTAGAATCCTCTGAGTTAACATTCAAGTCACAAAGTCAAGAGCCCCTATTCATGTATATCTGTTAGTTTTCTCCTCAACGGCCTGTTTCTTTCTGAGATACAACCCTGTGGTGACGTTGTTTCGAAATCCCTTTCATTTGCTTCTCCAACTCAGCATTTTCTTAATTAGAGGTACTACTCCCATCTTGATCTTACCTTTTTAAGGCACATACGCAGTTTCTTTTTCACTTCTCCCAATGGCTGCTTTGACCTTTTCTTGAGCAGCTTGGCATGTAGGTATTGGATGCGCTCTCTTTCCACACTGGGGTAGAAGGCTGCTGACACCAGGATTTTCAGTTGCATCAGGAAGGAGGACAACAATCCCAGCATTACTAATATCACAAGAAGAATACTGAGAGGAATCCAGGTCTCAGACAGAAGGAGCTTTGGTTTAAAAATGCAGTTGGGTTCAAACACAGATATATTAAAAGCAGAATGATGGATGAGGTCTTGTGTTCCTTGTTTCTAAAATGAAATAATAAGATCATTAAAATCCATGTCACTTTTGTACTCGGTCTTTGTCCTTCCCAGAATTTCTCTCTAACACATAGCATTTATCTTCAAATAAGCAGGAAGCTTTGGCTGAGGAGATATCTCGTTTGTGTGATCTGACTGGAACAAAGGGGAAGGGACGAGTCTGATGTGTGACTGTTGCAGTGTTTTCTAACGTAGGCTTATGGAACTACAGATTGTCTTGAGAAAGGTGCACCCAGTGAGTGTGTCTTTCCCACCCCTTCTTGGAGCGTCACAATGCATGTCGAGGCAGAGCAATCTGTTCTACTTCCACAGTTCTCTTAACAAATTGCATGATGCAGCCTATTTTCATGGAGTCCTTGCTTCTACACGTAGGGAACATGGGACTCAGGAAAGATTGTTTTGAACATTGGCCCTTCACACCCAATCACATCCTCCCAGTCTGGACAATCTCTTCCACAGACCACAATGCCAAAAGATATTAAGGTACTTTTGTATTCCAAGTCATCCTTCTGGAGCTGAAGGGGAACTATTCTTACTTGTGTATGATATCCATTTCCAGATCGATAGGTTGACTCTCAAGCCCACTTTCCTGAAGGATACTCTAAAATCCTGTCTGTGGAGGTCTTAAGAACAGGAGAGCTTTTCCTCTTTCCTAAGTGCTTAGGAGGGGTGCATTCTTCCCTGTTTAAAGATGGGAGAACACACCAGTTGCTCTCAGCAGACTGGCACAGAGTGCAGAAGATGACATTGAGTCACCCAGTCAAGCCACCAGCAAGAGGAGCGTGTGCTGAGTCAGTTCTTCCTTTTCCCTGGCCTGGGAAAGTCATTTAATCCCTCGGTGCATTTGTTTTCTAATTTGGTAAAACAAGAATTAATGGACCAGATCCTGCCCATGAATAAACTACTCCCAGTGTAAATTAAACACCTTGGGGATGGAGCATTAACCTTACAGACCGGAGTACTTAGTAAGTTATTATCACCATAGGGCCACACAGCTCCAGGGCCAGGAAAAGTAAATGACTTCTCAAGAAGAACCCAAGCACACCCAGAGAACATTGCACTCTGGGTCCACCCCCTACCTGTGAAGTATTTGGAAACTCCAAACCTAGGATCTCTGCACAAACGTCAAGTCACAGCCGTAATTTCTCCAGCACTGTTGCCGGAACAACAAAAACATTTGTGTGGCCTCTCCTGTTCTCTTATTAAAAAGAGAGTCAGCTTACAATTAAATAGAGAGATTTCAGCCCCCAGAGCAAAGCCATGAGCTGTTTTTAATACAACTGAAGAAGCAAACACATTGATTGAGTCAGTGATGAGAAATCCTGCAGTAAGAAAGCAGCGGGTGTTCAGTCTGAGACGAACTTATTTAGTCTAGGAATCTAACTGGGGATTTGCCATTGGGAGTCAGAGCTTTATGAAGGTTGAGTCAACATTTTAGCACAGGGTTGGTTGAGGATAATGTCAAAGATAAATTAACACTTTCAAAATGCCAAGCAATATACTAACTGGTACCTCAACGTTTTAAAATGTGTTCACTCCTTTTAAGTAAATGATCTGCTGAGACACCATTGAGCAATAGTCAGTCCTGAGAAAAGCTAATGTAGCCAAATATCTGCATATAGTAGGTGCTCAGTAAGTAGAAACTCTGGCTATTTCTACTTACAATGCCCACGCACACAGTTAGCTCCACTTAGGTCATATTCTGTCTTGTTCATTTAAAATATTTGTATAAAGCCATTTGAAAATGTGAGGAAAAAATTGACAACATTTTCTTTGAGAGATGTTTTTGCTATAGGGTGCATGCACTCTCCAGAGAGACAGAGACAGAGAGACAGAAAGCAAGAAATTTCCCCCAAGAAGGATAGCCATGCCACAATCTCTTTTTCTCCATTCTCCTCTTGGCATTCTTGAGCACACATGCACACACACCTGGCATGAATTTCAAGCTACTAGATCTAGGACTTGGACTGTGGTCAGCCATGTGGGTGTTCAGCACCTTAACCACTACCCCACCTGCTGGCCCCTAATACTGGCAAAACTTTGAGCCCATGTTTCTCTTTCTGCTTTTTCTTCTCCTTTGCAAGTCTACAGCAATGGAAGAGACCAGAAGCCTCCAGAGCATCCCGAGATAAGGCAGAACATTGCCCATCACAGCCAAGTTGGCTGCTGGCAGCACAGTCCCCTCAATGGAGAGGGGCTCCTAGAGCAGTCTCGATGGGTCTTGTCTGTCCCATCACCCACCACCCTGCTGTTGTTACATGTGCACATGGGAGCCTCCTTACCAAGAGGCAAGCCTTTCAATGGCAGCCATCATAGGCATCTTTGTATCCCTAGTACTCAGTGGTGCCTAAAGATGAATGTGCCAGGACATTGTCATAGGAAAGCTCCTGGAATTTTTTTTTTAAGGCAGACTTGTTTTTTCCCCTATGTCTAAAATAGTGAGAATTGAGACCAGCAGTTGGCATAATGGGTATGTCGCTGGACTCCCATGTAGTTGACCTAAGTTCGAGTCCTGGACCCGGTGGCTTAAAACTCACTCCGGGCACATGTGCGTGAATGCCCAAGGTCCCAAGAGGAGAATGGAAGAGAAGGGATTGTGGCATGGCCATCCCCCCTGGGGAGTGATTTCTCGCTTTCTGTTTCTCTGTCTCTCTCTGTCTTTCTGGCGAGCGCATGCACCCTGTTGCAAAAACCTCTCCAAAATAAAATAAAATAGTGAGAATTTATAAAGCAGGCATGTACATTGGCTGAGAGAGAAAGGAAAAATGAGAGAATCTAAGAGAGAAGAATAGGAGAATCGAGAGTGGAAGACAATAAAGGAGAACACAGGGCTAGACAGTGACACAGTGGTGATATGATGCTCTCTAATGCTGGGTCCACATGGAAAGGTTACAGGTTCAAGTCTTGAGGCCTCCCTGTGCATGCTGGGAATGTGTATGTTTGTGTATGATCTGGACTGGCTGTGGCTTGGATGGGTCATGGCATGGGGTCCTACTGGAGGTGTCTCTCTTTCTCTCAGAAGAAATAAATAGATGGTCTTTGACATTTAAAAGAAGAAACAGAACACAGGTGGCGAATGGGAGGAAGAGAGGCCCTTTAACTAGCTACCTCCCGAGATCAACTATGTCAGAAATTCTTGTTTGGCTTTCATTTGAAGCACTGCTTCCATTATCCACCCTGCTCTGAATATCTAGAACAACAGGGTGCCTTGTAATTAACTGAATTCTTCAGAGAAAGCAGGGAGCTCAGAGTAATCAACTCTGAGAAGAAGCACAGGATTAGGAGGGCAGGAGCTGGGGGACTGCATCTGCTGATCCTGAGGAAAGTGGAGGAAAAGTGTGGACGCAGCAGGAGGATTCAAGGTCCTGGGAGATAAAAAGAAATGGAAAGTGGGATTTCAGAGAAGGGCTTACAGGCAGCATTGGTACCGCTTCCCCCACCAGTCTCCCAGCAGCTGGCACAACCTATAGTAGCTTGATAAAGAGGAGGGAATGTCGGATACATGGAAAGAGCTGTTGGTGCTTTCACCAACCTGAATTACTGTACTTATTACCCTCACCATACACACACACACACACACACACACACACACACACACGCTCTGCTTTGTTTAGCTTTACAATTTCTAAGTTTAAAAAATAGGCAAGTGTCTAGTAATATCTAGATCATCTGAAATGTCACACAAACACACATTTATGCAGGAAAATCGAAAAGAGAAAAAAGAAAAGATGAAACGCACAAACCCCACAGTCTCCTGTGTTGGCAATAGGGCTGCCAAGAGGAGGAGATGAACAGAGAGAAAGCCAGATTTTGTGAGACACAGGAGGCACAACTCAGAGAACGACTGTCCAGGCTAATTAAGATTTCTCACAGATCCATCCAATGGTGCTTGGAAGTTACATTTCTGGCTCTGTGCTTTTGGGGAATAGGTTTAAAACAGTGGTTCTCAATCTTGGCTGCATATTAGAATTACTAGTGGAGGTTTTAAAAAGCTCTTACCCCAGTTCAATTAAGTCAGAGTCTCTCAGAACCTGGGAGTGAAGGATTGAGTTAGTTTACTCATTGGTTTGTTTGTTCAGCTCCTCCGTAATGCAAGGGGTGGAGGACCACTGGTTTAGAAGGTCTCTGCTTTCTAAGACCTACACCAGAGTTTCTCGAAATGGTCTATGGACCATCGACTTTGAAATCACATGGAATGCTTATTAAAATGCTCTCCATGGCCAGCCACACGGGCAACACTGTGATACTCAGGCCACGTGGGAAGGTCCCAGTTTCTGATACAAGGCCTTCCGGTACATGCTAGGTGCACGCACTTGCCCGTGATCCTGGCTGACTGAGGCTGGGAGTGGACTGTAGCATGAAGATCCTACTGGATGTGCCTGTCTCTCTACCTGTCATGGAAGAAATAAATTAACTGAAAAAACAATGCTCTTCGGGACCAGCAGTTGGCGTAATGGTTATTCTCTGGACTCCCATGTACTGAACAGGGGCTCAAGGTTGGACCCAGTGGCTTAAACTCACACCGGCACATACATGCCCAAGATCCCAAGAGCAGAATGGAAAAGAAGGGATTGTGGTGTGTGGCCATCCCCCCTGGGGAGGAGGTGATTTCTCACTTTCTGTCTCTCTGTCTCTCTGGCAAGTGCAGGCGCCCTATAGCAAAAACCTCTAAAAAAGAAAGAAAGAAAGAAAGAAAGAAAGAAAGAAAGAAAGAAAGAAAGAAAGAAAGAAAGAAAAACAAAAAACAATGCTCTTCTATTTAAAACAAAATCTCCCTAAATTGAGGCATAATATTTTCAATTCATCTGGTAAATTTTTGTTTTTGCCTTAAGGCCATGGGTTGCTGGAGAGACAGAGTGAGAGGGAAAGTGAGAAATTACCCTACACGGGGAGGGCCAGGCTGCAATCTCTTCTTCTCTGTTCTCCTCCTGAGATCCTGGGCACACATGCACACGTGCCCAGCATGATTTTCGAGCCACTGGGTCCAGGACTCAGACTATAGTCGGCCACGTGGGAGTTCAGCGCTGTAACCGCTATACCATCTGCTGGTTCCCACTCCAGTAAATTCTTAATACACACTTAAGGCTGGAAAGCACATACCTAACCTATCTAAAAAACCAAAGTATAGCTGGGTAGGATTTTTTTAAAAATGTTTTTGCCACAGGGCATATGCATTCACTGGAGAGAGAGATAGAAAGAAAGACACTGAGAGAGAAAGAGAGATCACCCTCCCAGGGAGGATGGCTATGCCAGAGTCCTTCCTCTTCCATTCTCCTCCTGGGATTTTGGGCACACACAGAGGCACCTAGCATGAATTTCAAGTCACTAAGTCAGGGACTTGAACCGTAGTTGACCATGTCGGAATCTAACACCTTAACCACTACCCTACCTGCTGGCCCCATGAATAGATTTGAAAAAGAAAAAAAGGGGGTATTAGATATTAGTGTCAGCCATATCATAGTGTTACTTAAGAGCTCTTTTCCAACATCATCCTTTTATACATTACACTGATGCCTTGAGAGCTCTCCCATGTTTGATGAGGACAGAAAGAAGTTTCTACTCCAAGAAGGCACTCAAAGGCTACTTGCCCAAGTCTCGGGGTATGAGAAAGTCAAGCCCAGTCAGTCCTGGCCCTCAAATTCATGCCAGCACTCCTGTTTGGAAAGCAGCTTTGTACTCACGTCAGAATTCTGTTCCCACATTTCAGTGCTTTTTGACCGTAGGCGGTCCTAGGCCCTAGAAACTGTAGGTGTTACTTTACTAGGAAAAAGGGTGTTTGCAGATGTGATTCAGTTAAAGATCTTGAGATGCGGAAATTATCCTGACTATCTTGGCGAGCCCCAGTGCAATCACACGTATCCTTTAAGAAAGAGGTAGGGGTCAGGTAGTGGCACAGTGGTTCTGCAGCTGGACCCACACAGGAAGGTCCCGGATCACATTCCAGGGCCCGCCTTTGCATGCCAGGCAAGTGGGCATGCGGTGATCTGAGCTGGCCGAGGCTGGGGGGTGGACTGTGGCATGAGGACACTGTGAGGGTACTGTCTTTCTGTTTCAGTCTCTCCTCCTTCCCCTCACTCATTGATGAAAGAAATAAGTAACTAAAACTTAAAAAGATAAGACGAAGGCAAACAGATTTCACATACACAAAGAAGACAACAGATGGATACAGAAGCAGAGATGGAGTGATGTAGCCACAGACCGGAATACCAGAAGCTGGGAGAAGCAAAAAGTGGATTCTCCCACGGAGTCTGAAGAACATGTGGTCCGGCCAAAACCAGCCTGGTTTCATCCCGGTGGCACTGACTTTGGACTTCTCACCCTCAGAACTAGAAGAGAATAAATTCCTGC